CTCTTATGTATTGAGTCATATTGTCATTTCTATTTTGTTATTAATCTTTGTCTTACATTGATGTGTGCACTGGTTCATACTCAACTCTCCATTATTTGGAGTATGGCATACTGTTGTCATCTCTGTTACGATATGAAGTTATGTGAGAAGACATTCCTGTATATGCTGCAGGAGCCGACTCTACCGAGTACGAAGTCGAGGAGTCAGAAGAGTTGAAGCGACGCAGCAACCGTCTGACCAAGACCGATGCAGGTACCGTAGAAACATTTGAAATGAAAAGAGCGGGAACATGTTTAAAACCGGCCCCCGCGCCACACGGTTTGAATTCGCTGCAATAAGGGAATGTACCCATATCTTAGAATAGGAATGCAATGGAATGAGCGAAACTAGAAAGTGTGAGAGTACAAATATGCAACCCTAACATTTGTACTCCCTATTGTGCTACTCACTGTAGCCTACAAGCATAGAATTACATTTGACACACCCCCATAGGCTAAGTGAGGGGCATCAAAGCAAGCAAGGTGAACAAACGGTCACAAGACTAGTCAAAGCAAGAAACAAGGCAAGCTCAGGGTGGATCTCAAGGACACCACACAAATTCCGAGCGCAAGCAAGCGGCCACAAGGCCAGTTCAAGAGTTCACTAGGATATAAATAGGAAGCACAACAAGCAGAGCAAACAACAAGGCTACAGCAACCGAGGGCCTACCTCAACAAGCCCCAACTGCACACAGAACCTGTGGTGATCACCAAGCGCCAAGGCCTTGGTGAAGACGTCTGCAGTGTTGGCCTCTGAGGCCACAAAGTCCAGGCGTGCCTAGCCGCGTCGCTGCAGCTCTACGCTGGTACCTGCTGCACCATGTGTGATTGCGTCAGTGTGATGGTGCGAGCGGCTCTGTCCCTAGTGATCTGCAGGCCAAGGTAGCGTTGCAGCTCACCCAGGTCCGTGCACTTGTGTCTCTTCTGCAGTTCGGACTTCACCTGAGCCAGGGCTGCCCTGTCTGCGGTAGCAAACACCAAGTCGTCGACGTAGACAAGGATAAAGAAAGGAGTAGAACCCGCTCGAACAAACAGCGACGAGTCGGCGGAGGACGGGCTGAACCCAAGGTCACGAAGCGTGGAGCGAAGAGTGTCGTGCCACTCACGTGGCGACTGGCAGGAACCGTAGATTGGTCGCCTCAGGCTCCACTGGGTCCTAGGTGGGAAGGTGTCAGTGAAGCTAGGAGGACGGCGCAGCCAGATCTCCTCGTGCAGTCGGCCCTGGAGGAACGCATTGGAGACGTCGAGGGAGTGCAACTCGTAGTCTCGCTGCGCTGCTATGTGGAGTAGCACCCGAAGAGTAGTCATCTTCGGGGTCGGGGCGAAGGTCTGGAAGAAGTCAAATCTCTCACGCTGACTGAAGCCCCTAGCCACGTAGTGCGCCTTGAACACCGGCGGTGCTCTAGGCGGCCGCTTCACCTTGAAGAGCCACATGCCATCGACTACGTTCGCCCTGGGAGGGGGAACTGCGTCGACGTAGGTGCCTGTGGATCTCCAAGACGCCAACTCTGAGTCCATAGCCGCTTTCCACTGAGAGGCCCACGCCCCTGACACAGCCTCGCGGTAAGTGCGAGGAGTCGGTATGTCAAGGGCGTCGGGGTCTCCCTCAGGGGAGAGCAGCATGGCACACACAGACAGAGAAGCGGCTGCCCAGTACTCCAGCTCAGACTCTCTGTCCTCTAGGACGTCACAGCCAAGGGAAAACCCACCCCCGACAGACAAAGGACGAGAGGGAGGAGCTGGCACCGTACGGGTGGCGTAGCCAACGCGGCTAGCAGCAGCAAACTCAGCGACATCGGCAGTGAGAGCCGAGGCAAACGACGGAGGGAAACAAGAGTAGGTGACAAGAGTGGCGAGGACATGTGCGGCAACACGACGAACAGCGCGGTAGTAATCAAAGATAGGAGTGGGGAGGGCTATGAGAGAGGACGGAGGAGGAGACGGGAGAACGAACACAGGAGAAGGAGAACGATGACGAGACGAACCAAGGAGGGCAGTGTGGATGTCAGTAACAGGGGATGAGTGACGAGCACGCGGAGGACAACGGGTGATCAAGTCGCGACAGACAGAAGGAGGAGGAGAAGACCAGACTGCCGGACAGTCGTCAGGAGGAGGCAACGGAGGAACAAACACAGGAGGAGACTAGGAGCGGACAGGAGCAGAGGAGGAAAGGCCAAGGGCCCGTAGGCCACTCACAGGTGGGAACAACTGCCGCTCCAGAGGAAGCTGCGGAGGCGGCGGCTACGGCTGCTGCTGCTGCTGCGGCTGCTGCTGCCGCCGCTGCTCCAGAAGGTCCAGCACCCGCAGCTCCTGCCGCTCCCTCTCCAACCGCTCCTCCTCCTCACGCTCACGCCGACGGGCAGCCTGGAGACGCGTGTCGTGGCGGTGGGGAGGCGGAGTGGACTCCGCAGAACCAGGGTCTCCAGCTCCAGTCTCCTCAGACTCAGCACCCCCAGAACCAACACCTCCAGTGTCAGGACCCCCAACTCCAGCACCCCAGACCGCGCACCGCCAGCGGCTACACCTCCAGCTCCAACACCAACCAAGTCCACAGGAACCTGTCACGGAAGTGCCGAAGGCTGCTGAGGGGACTGTGAGGAGGAATGCGGGGAGGGAGACGCTACCTGACGCGCGACCGAGGGTAGAGGGGTAGCGTGGGACACACTAGACGGGGCAGGACCAGGGGGGGGAGGGGGTACCAGAGGAGCAGGAGCAGGAGCCGGAGGGTCACCTGACCCAGTCGCTACACAAGCACCTAGAGCAGCAACACAAGCACCTAAGCTAGAGAGGCACAAGGCTACACTAGCAGGAGGCAAGCAGGCTAAACTACGAACACGCGAGCACACAGATCCCTCAGCACTAAAGTCAGCATCAACATACAAAGGATGTTGTAGGGTAGCTAATTTCGTAACAGTCCGTTCGGATATTCGCAAGATCCCCTGCGACGTCGCTACCCTCCGGACACAATCTGACACTTTTCTGCCAAAAAGTGGTCCGGACTAGCCTGCTGACTCCGTCCGAACGGCATTTCGGACGGTCCGTTTTATCTGCGCTGTGATCCGGCCACCAATCGAAAGATTTTCCAACCAATAGGATGCTGTCAAATTTTGGTGGCGAAATCTCTAAGTGCTATACGATTTCTGTAATGTGTGTTATTATTCGTAGCGAGATTCTATATTTTCGATAGGGGAAAAAGTTGCACAATTGTGGTCCGGACGCCCTAACGTCCGGACCTGCTTCCCAAACGTCCGGACGGAGCTCCGTCCGGCCAGTTTGGAGGCTCCGTCCGGACATTTGACGAAAATGGAAAAAGTTACGCGCCCTAATTCGCATCCAATTTCTCAGCCCTGCCGAATTCGTCAGCGCATCGCTGAAGCCTTCCACATTTCGAACGCGAAGCCCAACCCACGTGTGTGACTGACCCGGCAATCGCGTCGCATCACATCTCATCCCCCGAAAGGGATTCGTCACTGCAAGCGAATCGCTGGCATGTCGAATCAACGGATCCCACTCATGGACAATGAGCATAACTTACGTGATCTTTTCGACTTCAGCTTCCCGTGGGAAACGGGCACCGAAGCCATCTATGCGAGTGCCTTGGAGGCGGCCGCAAATGGAAACGTGGTCGACAATCAAGCGCCCTTGGAACTTCCAAGAGGCGGCGCCACGGCGTCGTCGGAAAATTTGCCCTGCGAGCCGCACGACGGGTTTGACCAATGGCTGCGTGAGATGGGGATTGATGAAAATTGTCCACAGGCTGACAAACTTCCCTCGGCGCCCGGCGGTTTCTGCGGCGAAGGAAACGACACGGCAGACCGCGCGCAAGCATTGTGTGCTGATGACGACTTGCTCACTACGTGCGGCATCCTGCCCGCTAGTGATCCTCGGAGCGTGACTCACTTCAAGACTCACGCCACGAATCCCGTCGCGATAAGCGACGATTATGCTCAGCAAACGGAGACTGCGCGTCTGGGAGTCGAATCGGCATCGGCACGTGACGCGGCGGGTTGGGCGCGGCGCCGCGTGCTCCCGGGCCGCCGGGTGCTGGCTTCCGTGTTGGCTCCCAACCCGCCAACACCCTCCGCTACTAAACAGCAGCACGGGAGCCAGGGTGTTGGCGTTAGCGCTGCCGTCGGTGGTTTTGCTAGTGCTGATGCTGATTTTGCTAATGCTGCTATTTTTCATGCAGATGCTGGTGCAAAAAACGACGCCACGGCAAAGCCGCAGCACGGGATCCCTGGCGTTGCCGTTGCAGACACTGATGCTGTTTGTAATGTCGATGCTGATGCAAAAGGCGGCACCACGGCAGATCAGCAACAAGAAAGCTAGGGTGCGGGAGCTGGCGCTGCCGTCGGTCATAGTGATGCTGACGATGCTGACGCCGATCCTGTTTATATTGCCAAAGCTGATGCGAAAAGCGGCACCACGGCAGATCCGCAGCACGAGAGACAGGGAGCTGGAGCTGGCGCTGCAATTGGAAGCATTAATCATCGCGAAAAAGGAAAGCTGCGATTTTTGGCCTCCGAAGGTTTTTCTGCGTTGGCCTTGCGAGAAAGTTGCGGAAAGCTTCATAAAAACACCGCACCCGAATCGCAACTTTTTGCACATCAGAAACGCACAACTTCATCGTAGACACAAAAGTCACTTGGCGTTAACTTTTCCACGAACATGTACGAAACTCGAAGCGCACACCTACATCTCGAGTCGCAAACGCGGCTCCCATGTCATTGGAACCAAAATCCGCGACATAAGTATGCTGTAACTGGTGTTTCTGTCAAAATACAACGTGTAAGTCCACCGTTAGGGTGCTCATATCCACATTATCCAAACGGCTCCATCAACTCAAAATAATACTGCATACACTATTACAGCCACTACACCAACATAAGCAATGCGTACCCCCCCCGTTCGATACCGCACACAATCAACTCCTACAACCAAACCCCCCTACTGCCAGACGCATCACTGGTCGTCATCACTCTCCAGCACTTCATCACTCTGCAGCACTTCTTCGGCTGTCCCATTCTCAGCTCGCCCCCCTGCGCGAGCCCTCTTGACAGGCGTCCTGCATAGGCGGGAAATCACCTCCTGGTTCGATGCTCCGACCTCTGCTGGCACAGCCGCCGGGGGGATGCCGAGCTCATCGGCACGCTCCACGTACGCGTTTGTGACGTTGCGTATCACGCGCCTCCTGCTGCGCTCGTCCCGCAGCAATGGGCCGTCTGGCAGGCTCATGTCGCCCGACGAGTCATCGGACGCGCTGGCATCAGGTGTGGCTCTGAACCCCTGTTCCACGCATATTCCCGCGTTGCAGTTGATAAAATCCGAGGCCGTCATGTAGCACGCATGCCTTACCTTGAACTTCTCGATGAGCAACTGCAAATCGACGCATACCGAAATAATAGGCTCGAACATGCCGGTTGCGCACGTGTCACCCAGGTACGCCATCAGGGGCGGCCAGCTCGCCGGCACGCATCCTGCGCGCCACCAGCTCCGCTGCATGGTAGCCGCGCGAACACGAGTCCACGCTTCTCCCAGCCATTCGAGTATGTCGTTATAGTCGACATCAGCGATGGAAGCCGAATAGTCGAACTGGAACCGCTTGGACCCTATCGCACGCCTCATCAGCATAACGCGGTAATACGCCTTCAGCGCGTCACCCACTCCCTGCAGGTGCGGCAGGCCCGTCTCCGGAATCGATCCATGAATGTTGACGACTCTGGTGTTCGTGAGGTGCTGCACACTGAAGCCGTGCTCCGAGACGGCCGGCGACACCTCGCCTGTGATGCGATGCGCATTGTGAATGGTGAGGATGATGGTGCTGAAGTGCACACCGTTGACGGTCTCCACAAACTCCGTGAACACCTGTGTGCAGTGAATCAAACATACCGAGCACATCATAAACGGACATTGCGGTACGCACTGACATCGGAGATGGACGCGCTCCTGATGTACTCTCACGTTCTATGCACGTCCAACCATAAAACTGCACACAAAGTCCACAATCCATTACCTCCGGCGTCAACCTCCCACGGTTCGTATACCTAACGGCCACCTTGCGCGATGCGGCGCTCGCCCGCCGGCGCAGGGGCCTATTGGATGGCTCTAGCACCACAAGAGGCACTGCGGAACAACTCCCAGTCGCGTTGTAGAGGATGCCGACGCTGACGATACGCTCCACCACATTGCGCTTATCCGGAATGTAGGACTTCGGCAGCCGGCTGGGAAGAAAATTAATCTCGTGGAAGCAGAACACGTCATCCGGATGTGCGGTAGCAAGCAGGGCCTTCAGGTCACCCATTGTAACACACTGTCACTCTGGTATGCAAGTATGCATTGAAGGGCACACGACCTCCTCCTACATACCTTTCATATCACCTTGGCGTAACCCCGGCTTGCCCCTGCACGCACACTGCGTACAGCAGTTGAAATTGGCCACACAACCAACCGACCACATTCCCTGCGCCGCACAGAGATAACGCTCTCCTTTGATACGACCACCTGTAACGCCCACATAGGACATCCCGCCCCCACGATGCCACGTACGCGTCACCCATATCCAAACAACCAACTGCCTGAGACCCCGAGTGTGTACCACCACACATTGTGGTTGTGCAACCCCGACCGCGCAAGGAATAAGGGTACCCGTACGCGTTATACGATTCATAATTTAACCACCATACTGCACACCTCTACCTGATTGAACATCTCTCCTTCTTACCACGAGTGTACAATATCATCACCGCTGGATAACACAACTTCCATCCATTCGTGCCTCTACACATAAAGAACGCACTACGCAGTAATTTATGGTTTAAAATTCCGAGATGCAACCACTGTCTGTAAACGCATTGCGTCACTCGCATAGTAGAAACCTATTTACTAGCTGCACCTTTTTGTTGCTGTACGAAGGGCACACGTGCACCACTCTCTGCGGGCTTTTCAGCTCCACCACCGAGAACCTCACATCCTCCACTGTCTTGTGCAGCTGCGTACATCCCGTGAGGTTGCAGCTCCCAGCCTTCTCATAGTACCTCACATATGCGTACCCCTTCCAATCCCCTTCACGGTCAACCGCCCTAAAAATGCACAGACAATTTGCATACCAGTCCCCACCCTTGTCATTGAGCAGTGCAACGTCCGAATACCACCTCTCTCGGGGCGACGCCTTCACAAATGTCCCTTTGGCCACCAGCTCTCCGCCTCTTGTGCGCGGAATGGCCACCGCCGTGTGGACCTGTCACCCCATCCCCACCAAACCAACAACACGTGCACATCATGAGTGCGGTGAGTACCATCATGTAAGACTACAAACGTCACATGTCCGCCAGTTTGTAATCACTTCACCTGCACGCTGTTGGTAGCCAGACCCAACGCCTTAAACTCGTCTGCCAAACCCTTCATATCATCTCCCACCGCGGTTATGTACTCATTGTACACTGGATCCGCCGCTCCGCCAATCCGCATTGTCCGATACTTCTTCATGAGCACCGGTTTCTTCATCAAGATTGCCTGCACGTACCACACGCATTCGCACAACGAATCAAACGGTGTTTGAATCACGCCACCACCCCGGTGTACGGTGTACTCTGTACTACCAACACTGGGCATCATCGTCGCCAAGACCCCCTAACACACCTCACGCAAGGCGCGCGCGTACTGTCGCCCACCCCCAGCGTCCGCCGCCACCTCGCGGTACACCTCGCGCTGCACCTCCTCCTCCACGATTCGTCGAGGTATGTCGCTCCAATTGCTCCCTCTTACTGGACCCTTCACCGTGCCCTTGTGCGTGCGCTCCCACATTTCGGTTGAATAGTGGTGCGGCATCCCACGCTCCTTCACGTTGTCCAGCAAATATCTTATTATGTGTATCTTTGGGAGCTTCCAGTGGGATGCCTGCGATGGGAATGCCTTCGGTAGCAACGCCACCAACCTGCATCGGCACCCCCGAGAAGGCACAATACTGGATGCATCACCGTATTTGGCGACCTCAAAATAGCTGTCCAATCTGGAGGCATAGCCTCCCATAAATCTTGTTGACCCAACGGCGTGGGGTATACAAATACTCACGCTATCGCATGCTACCGGGCAATCGCAATTGTCGTGTGTGTGTGTGTCTGTCAACCCCCAGAAACGCCTTGTAGAACACAGCATACAACCGGAACGCCTTGACCTGCAAAGCACGCAGCTCTCCCTCCGGTCCATCCTTCAATGCACTCTCGTCTGCCACGAGTAGCGGCATTATCTGCATCATGCTCCTGTGCTCGAACGCCGCGTAGTTTGCGCCTGAACTGAAGAACGATGATCCCCCAGGGATACGGAGGAGAACACTTGGAGTGAAACGCTTGAACTCCTTCTTGCGGCTGCGCACTTACATAGTACGACGTCGTTATCCGCTTGACACACATGGGGGCCTAGACCGCTCAAAAATCCCTGCAGAACATAGTTGGCTACCGCTCTCACACCCGACTACACCTAACTCACCTTTCTAGCAGCCGCATCTCAACCTTTCCAAGGGGTTCAATGTAGGAGTCCATCATGTGGATCAGCACACCGGAGTCCAGCACGTGCAGTGTGTTTGTTAGGCATGCCAGGTACACGTTTCCCCACTCTGTGTCTGCGAAATTCCACCTTTGAAGCACGCACTGCAACCATCCCACAGACGACACAGTGTTGTCAAACAGTCCACATGATATCCAGCGCCCCTTCATTACGCACCACCAAACCGCGCACCAGCAAACACACCTCGATCGGATGGGTTGACCATAACTTCCGCACAACGTCTGCCTCGCCCTTCTTCTTGCACGCCAAGATTTGACGAACAATGTCCCTCTGCTGATCGGGGGTCCGTGGATCACACTTCCCCACCATCATGGTCAACTCCCCCTTCACAGCATAGCAGTTAGCGCATGGCCGATGCGATCCTTGCTGCAGAGTTGCGGAGGCTCTGCTGGATTCCGGGAAGTCGGCAGGGTATCCGTACAGGCAAGGGACCGCCTTGTGCACCTTCCCGTCCGCGTCTGTGCAGTAGAAGAAGCGTACTGGCGCGCTGCATAGGGCCGCCATGCACACATAGTGTTCACTTAGTGATGGATCGTATGCATATCTCCCAAAAGGGTGGCTACTAACTGGGGTGGCCCCCCTTCCCCACCCGTGTATCGTTATCATACCCACCCCCATCCCCTCCCAGTACCTGGCGGACTCTCGCATGATGGGCGCGAGTATTATCTTCAGCGCCTTCTGGAACACGCGCGACTTCTCCGTGGGCGACGCCCATTCAGGCGGGAATGGAAGCACCGCCGCCAATGTGTGCCCGGGTTCCACTCCTCGCAATTCTTCAGGTATGTTGACAAGTGATATCAGCACAGGCCACGCGTTCCTTCGTCCATTCCGTGATGCCTGCGTGCTATCGCTGTATATCAGCACGCCTAGTACGAGTGCCTGGTCGTCGTTAATCTCCTTCTGCCATGTAGAGCGCACGGGCCGGTGAGCGTTGTGACACCTCGTGCAGGTACCAGTAAGCACGACATATGACAACTGAACAACTAACATGTGCATACCTGAGCAGAGTGCATCCAATCACCTGTCTCCGGTCCTTCAAATACCCTCTCGTTGTTCTTCTTCCGATATATCTTCCTCGGCTTCCATACGAACCCCTTTTTGGATGAGAACGTCCGCACCAGCTTTTTCAAGATCTGTGTGCGTTGCGCAAAAACATGAGTGAGAACATGATGGGTGCCAACTTCATCTACGCGTCACCTAGACATCGCCTCCAAGTTGGCCTCCCATCACGTACCAACTCGGTGTCGCGGAAGTGCAGTAGCATCTTGATTTGCAGTCCTTTGGGACCCCTCACCACTATCTCCTCCGTTTTCCACGGGACCATGTCGGGTGGAGCTCGCGCCATGCCCCAGCGACGCACATCCACCCAGTTGCGCCATCGTCGGAGAGCCCTGAGGTTGAAGCGAGGGTTGCGGAAAATGTGTAGCAGACGGTTAATTTCCCAGTGCGACAGATCGGCGTCACGGAAAAACAGGTACAACTTTGTAAGTGTATCAAAAATCTCCGTCCTATCGCTGCCTTCTGTAGATTCGGCGTTAGCGCCGTCGGATGGTGTATCCGCGTCGCCAACCACACTAACTTTGGGTATCGACACCGTTGGAGGTACGGAGAGAAAGCTGCGATCGTTGTTTTTAAGCCTGGATGCCGGTGGGGTATTTGCTCTACCCTCTCCTTCGCACGCAACGACTTCCAAATATGCAGCCCACAAAAGTTGTTCACGTTTCCTCTTCAACTCCTCGCGACAAACAGCCCCATTCACTACATGGGACTGTAACCTGCTGTTGTCCTTAAACACCGTCTTGCACACCAGGCAACTGTTCCCCGCCATCCTACAGCCGTGAAACCCTAGGAATTGCTGCTGTGAAAACCCTGCCCAGCCCATCTCGTGCACTCTTGTAGAACAGAGTTGGTCTGGTTCGAGCACACGCATGTGCGGGAACCTTTGTGGTGTGCGCACAGAACATAGCCGTACTCGTTGCAGTGAAAGGTACAATTATATTATGTGTGGATGTGTTGTACGTGAATCGGGATGTACATTTGTCAAACCGCCCCACCAATGATTGTAACTTGTTGATCGAGATGATAAAAATATCATAAACTGGTTCCGTAACCACCAACAACCATTGCATATATTTGATTATTTGTCATGTAGGGTAACAACATTTTTTCCAAACTCTGACCACCTTGAACTTACGTAACATAACACATTGCAATCGCGTGTTATTGTTATACAAGTTTAATAACCATGTACGCATCGATTGCATAAAACCTGGACTCGGCGCGCGAAGAGACACATACACGTATGTTCACCACACGACGTACATCGTTACCATACTTCGCGTCATTTGGCCTTCTCATAAAAAAAATCGAACTACCGTGCATTCGCTTGCATGCATCTGCTTGGTAACCCGGCTTCAACCTCCGACCACAGCATCCGAAACCCTAGGATTAGCACACGTGGATCTGCATGGCGCTGAACCATCACATCCTCTCGAGTGGTCGCATCACACCTGGCCATCGCATGCACGCTTGCGCCAACGGTGTACATCTATGTAGCTCTACACGACGGTCACACCAGATGTGCATGATCCGAGAGGGTTACGCCTTTCTATCTCCTTCATTTTCCATAGTATCCTCAACGCTTGCGCTCCCCGTAAATGTGTTCCTCCTGCCAACCCTACCTGCTCGCGTCTTCATAAGCCAGGGTAGTTTGTATTCTAGTCGTTGATAGATAGAGATGGCGAAACCTAAGCAGTTGACATCTAAGCGCAACAGGTTCTATGAACCCGAAACTAGCAGCGGCTCCGACGACCAAGATCCTGCCCCGCCGACGTGCAGAACCAGGTCGTCGAAAAATGCAGAGTCTAACCTGAAGAATCCAGGGCCGATCCCGCCACCTAAGGCCTCCGGAAGGGCCATGAAGTTTGCTACGACTAAGGAGGATACGGCGCGGGAGCAGGTGCAGGAAGATTTGGTGTCCCTCGTCGCACGGAATTACATGAAGTCTTCGTACACAAACATGACGCTTATAAATCACCGCGGCGTCGGGTGCGAGGTGGATAAGGACGACCTCATGTCGATCGAGGATGATCAGTGGATCACTGATGGTGTGCTAGACTTTCACAACGTGTAAGTATCTTCACTGAGGTCACCTGGTTGACGCTTTGTTGCGTAGTATCTGATGTATGGGCTGACAAGAAGTGAACGAGAGAATGAGTGAACTATGAACGAAGTGAGTACAAATAGGAAACCCTAACTGGGTTGTACCCCCTATGGGATACCCCACTATAGCCTACATAAATGAGTAAGCTATAATGTTCTGACACACCCCCATAGGCAAAGTGGGGGAGAACAAGGGGTCACAAGACCAGTCAAGTAAAGCAAAGCAAAGCTCAGGGTGGATCACAAAGTCACCACACATTCCGAGCACAAGTTCAAAAGGCCAGAAGGCCAGTTCACATGCAAGATCATATATAAAGATATACAAGAGTCAAGCAAGTAAGAGCAAGAGTATATATAGGTGAAGGTACAAGCAAGGTCAAGAAGTGAGCAAGTGAGGCAAGACAGACACAAGACCCAACTGCGTGCAACAACGCTGATGATCACAAGGAGCAAGTGCCTTAGTGAAGACATCAGCAGTGTTGGCCTCAGAGGCCACGTACGCAAGTCGCAACTGTCCACGCTGCTGCAGCTCACGAGCAAGAAAGTAGCGGAGGGCAATGTGCTTCGTTCTGTGCTCCAGTCGCTGCTCTCGACACAAGGCCAGCATGGCCTTGTTGTCTACGTACAGGACTGGAGGAGAACGAGGCTGCTCTCCAAGGTCGGTCAGCAGGTAGGTGAGCCAGCGTAACTCCTGTGCAGCCATAGCCCCAGCGTAGATCTCAGCCTCACAACTGGAGCCGAGAACAGAAGACGAGCGAGTAGCCCGCCACGAAACAGAGCCGGAACCAAGGCTGAAGGTGTAACCCTGTGACGACCGCTGCGTAGCCTGGTCGTCAGCCCAGGAAGCGTCTGCGTGCCCAGTGAGGACCACTGGACTGCGCCCTCCAAGCACTAGCCCCATGCCCGACGTACTGCACAAGTAACGCAACACCCTCTTCGCTGCAGCCATGTGCTCTGGTCGGTGTCTCCCAGGAGCAACATAGCGTGCTAGAATGCTAAGAGGGTATGCAAGGTCAGGACGTGTGCAGGTCATCAGGTACATGAGGCAGCCAACAAGCTCTGCAAACGGGCCACTCGACTCTACGGACTCATCCGAAGGCAGAGCTGAGAGCGAGTGGCGAGTAGGCAGAGGAGTGGCATGAGGCGAGGAGTACGTGAAGCCGAAGCGCTGAAGGACCTGCTGCACCATGTGTGACTGAGTCAGGGTAATGGTGCGGCGCGCTCTGTCCCGGGTGATCTGCAAGCCAAGGTAGCTACGCAGTTCACCCAGGTCAGTGCACGTATGTCTCTTCTGCAGCTCGGATTTCACGTAGGCGAGTCCAGCAGTGTCAGCTGTGGCAAAGACCAAGTCGTCGACGTACACGAGGATGTAGAACGGCGGCAGAGAGGTGTCGGTGCGCAGAAACAGCGACGGGTCGGCAGTAGACGGAGCAAACCCAAGTGCCGCGAGCGTAGTCCTCAGTGTGTCGTGCCACTCACGTGGCGCCTGGCGGAGACCGTAGACTGGACGCCGGAGACTCCACTGGGTACCAGGAGGGAAAGACCCAGTGAAGCCAGGTGGGCGGCGCAGCCAGATCTCCTCGTGCAGACTGCCCTGCAAGAAAGCAGTGCTGAAGTCGAGAGAGTGCAGCTCGTAGTCACGGTGAGCAGCAACGTGCAGCAGAACCCGAAGAGTGGTCATCTTCGGGGTGGGGGAGAAGGTCTGAAAGTAGTCAACCCCCTGCCGCTGACTGAAGCCACGAGCCACGTAACGCGCCTTGAAGACAGGCGGAGAACCCGGCGGCCGCTTCACCCTGAAAATCCACATGCCACTGACGATGTTCGCCCCAGGAGGGGGGACAGCGTCGACGTAGGCTCGTGTGGACTTCCAGGAAGCCATCTCTGCGTCCATAGCTGCCTGCCACTGAGAGGAGTAGGGACCCTCTATCGCCTCCGCGTAAGAGCGCGGAGTCGGGATGTCTAGTGCATCCGGGTCTCCCTCAGGGGC